CCTTGAAACAATATAGGCTTACATCTGGTTTCCTATCCAATGTTAGGCTTCAGGTAACCTTGATCCAGATCAAAAGGGTGTATAAAAGTAGGCCTTTAACCAAAAGTTCCACGTCATCTATGTATATAGGCGATCACCCGGCAACCCACTTTTTGTGGGCGGGCGGTATTAACCGACCTTTTCTTGCAATAAGCATATTAAGCTTTTTAAAGACAGTCACGAGGAATCGCGTTTCTTATGTACAGGTCTATCAGTCTCTCTAGCGATTGATAGAGCCTAAAGAGACTGATAGGCCTAAAATCCTTAGGGGAAACATGAGATATTTTTATCATGCGTCAAAAAGTTCGATAGTGATCCGAAAATTGTCGCTAACTGATTACAGTATCTTATTCCTGAAGCAAAAAATATCGCACAGAAGTACATTTGACTGCACTTCGAAGTACGAAGTACAAGAGCGAAAAAAGAAATACTGTACTTCCGAAAGAAGTACGGTTGGTCACATTACTAAATTTTTTGTCATCTAAAAAAACAAATAAAAAATTCCAAAATAATTTAAAAACTTTCTTCAATAGGGCTAACTTTCAGTTTTCACTAGGCATTAAATGAAAATAAATTTAATCACTACGTTGGGCATTAAACATATGGCATTTTTAGAATGGCATACATTTTTTGTCATTTCGTTGCCTGACGGAAATTCGGGGAACGCATTTATTGAAATTGCCTTTTTTTCTTCTAAAGAGACTGAGTATATTCGATTAAGAATGTCCACGATTTAGCTTTCCTTGATTCCATAGATATACATTTGATGTTGCCTTAAGATATTTGCCTTTGTTTGCCTTTTATACCTTAAAGGCCAGTATGTAGCTCTCAAGAAAAGCAAAAACTCCCTATAAAATGACTTAAAAGAGGCTAAGATTTTCTTGTGTAGAATTTCCTTAAGGCAGTACGCAGTTCTTAAGAAATTTGCTAAGCTTTCTACTGAGGGTTACTAAAGTTTTTTTTGTGAAAAACGAGCACAAGGCAACCAATGTCTGCACCTTCCGAGTTAATTTCAGCCTCTACTCATTTGAATTGAAAGCGAAGTTGACTGAAATTCACTCGGAAGTGAATTGCAGAACCTGCCGGAATATGAAGGTTTTAAACGTTCCATATTTAAATTGAGCGCCACTTGTATCAACTCACGTCGATCGCACGTATAAAAATGCTGCCAGAAAACTTCCTGATATTTTTGTGGCGAAACAGATTGTTTTGGTTTGTAGTCAGGAAATGTGCATGGTTTCAAGCTTGTTATTATGAATAGTACCTTAAGGCCGTCGTTGAATATGTTATCCTCGATCCTTTGACCGAGAGCAAAGTCAACATTTGAATGTTATTTAGTGTTTTAGAAATAAGCGACAAACGGACAATCGTATGGTATTGCCGTTCCATTAACTTTGAGTTGAAAGATCATGTCCCACTAAAAAGTGTTGTACAGGCGCAAAGGTATGAGCTGGAACTCCATTTTTATTTTACCTGAAATTGTAGTCAAAAAGATTCAACCTTTTCAGCTACAGAATTTCCCAAAGAATAACCGTAAGATCAAACTCTTTTGAGTAATGAACGGTCTAAATTTAAGATTTGTACTTTACTTAGGTAAAATTGTGAATCCAATGAATGAACAACCGTGTACTTTCGACACTTGCAAATATATGTGGTGCTACCCCTTATAACGCCTTTAAATGCCACGAGGCTGTGAGCCAAGAAGAATGCCAGACTTTGTTATCAGCATTGTCGGCCTTTGCAGTTTTTCTGCATCAGTAGTTCTGTATTTTTTGTGAGTAAACAAAAAAGGAAAAATCATCAATGAAATCAATCCGCTTGATAAAAGAAAAAAAAACACAGTTGGATACTGGTAAAATGCATTTGGTGTTAAAACCGGAAGCGACTTTTCCAACGACACTGACATCGACAGCAAGCGACACAGCTTCGAACAGCAAAAACCAATGAATGATGTAAAAATTAATATCCTGGAAAAATCATCAGCCACAATCAAGCGGCATTCTTACTCTACCCAGATATGTCGCCACGTCTCTGTAACACCAACGCAGAAATAATCACCGCAAGCAAATTTTTTTATGCATATTTAAATTTTCTTTTTATTGTTTTCGTATAATTTTGATTTCGTTGCTGCTGTAACAGCAATTTCGCACCCCCATCAGCAGCGTTAGACGTGGGTAGGTGAGTTCACTTGAATGCGACAAACGAAAATTTCATCGCTCACTGCAGTAAATGATTTATGAAATTGTTGCTTTCACATCTTCATCGTCAATTAAGCACAGCCTGCGCGCGGCGCGCATACATACATACATATACACAGAGCTACTCCGTCTTTTATTTCGATTTCTTTTGTTTATTTTTTTGGTGAGTTAAGTGAAAAGAAATTTTCAATCTTGTTCGTCATTATTACACTTCCTCCTTCACATTTCCTGTGAACATCTATTCTGTCAACTCTGCTGCCTGCCGTCTGCAGCAAGTGCGATTGACACGCCGCTGGCGTTTGTCGTGGTGTTGATTGCGTGACGAATACGCGAAGGTTCATTGAGTACACCTGACTCCAACTGCGCATACTTCTGAGCGGTTTATTGTCTTATCGTTTGCCGCCACCCTCTCTGTCGGGGATTACATCAATTTACCATATTTTTTGCCTGGACTACGACGTCTATTTTCTGCTACAGAAATCGATTACTATATTTGCAAAATTAGTTACGTCAGCGGGCGGATTTCTTTTTTTTTACGGTTAGGTGGAAATCTGAAAACTGACGGGGTATTACGAGGATACCGAGGATGGTACTATGTTTATATTGGACGGAGAACTGTCCTGGCAATGCAATTCTGAAGTTGCATCCAGCAAAGCTATGACTTTTTTATATGATTCCAATACTGCGGTTAATAAAATGGGATTACGCACCGCGTATATTGGATTACACAGAAGCTGCTTCAGTACAAAATTACAAGCAAGTTTTAGATGCAACTGATTGCATTCGTGAGTATGAGACATACTAATGTTAAGAGCTCAGACTACTGAGCTCATATTTTCCCTTAAAAGACTTTACCCTACAAATTCCATAGAGGAGCAAATGGGCACTAAACTATATGAACTTACCCATAGAATCAGGCATCACCTACTCACAAGAGTGAAATAAACCCCTTTTTAGTAACCAAATATTTTTCCTCTTCGGCTGAAAACGGCGGCTATTGAATCAATCAGTCATAGAGTTTTAAAATTATATGATTTCTCTGAACTTCGTGAGATAGGATAGCAGACCTCATCATATTGCTTAAGCCATAAAGTTTTGTCAGTCACCTCCAAACTTTAAAGGATGGTCGTAGGAAGAGTTTTCTCCCCTCCGCTCCACGACTACTGCAGCGTACATTAGGTGAAAGAGTTGGCCACCCATAAGGCAGGACGAAGTTTCCCCAAAGATATACAGAGAAGAGAGAGCTTTTCATCTTCTATGACATTTGGGCAGTCCTGTAAACAGTAGACTCACACTGAATGCCATACATCTCTGATATGAATAACTCATTGAGGGACATCACAATGCTGCGAGGTAAACATCAGTGATTGGCGTGCGGTTTGCCACAATTATTGCATGGCATGCTTTCGGCAATCGAACAAATGCAGTGGTTGCTGGCCCCATGCACGATCATTCGGAACACCGGTTTACCGAAGCCAATATGAGTATGCGCTGTTAAAATGATCGTTGCTGCGGCGGTATTTGCCAGCACTGCACGCTTTGCAGTGGTGATCATTCATCCACCGCTTTTAATGTGAGTACGCTTAAAGTCACAAAAATAGCATTGCATGCCATTTTCTGGTCAGCATCAGAAAAGATCTTTTATTTAGTTGTTCCCCGAATTGACCTCATAAGAGTTATTGTTATAAATGTTGTTCATTCCTCGTTGGTACAGTTATTCAAAAGCAATGGTTTTGTTCTATTCTCAAAAAAAAAGATAATTTTTCAAACTTTCAGGAAAGTTGAACCAGACCTCTTCGACAATATTTAACGTAATTTAAAACTCGCAAGGTTTATTTAGGCAAAGAAATGTTTGATATCCTCGGGACGCGGACTCATTCTCAGGACGGGAGACGATTCGTACTTCATCTGCTTAGCTTCCAAAGTTAGCAACAAATGGAATATATGTACATATATACGTAACGTGAGCAGTCCACTCAACGTCCCAAGCAGCGCTAGCCGACTCCTGGGGCTTTCAGCAATTCTCGTCTATTTTAGGTAAATTCGGGCGGAGAATTGAATTAGTTTTAGAATTGTCTGCGAGTATGAAAACGTTGTAAGCGAAACGTACTGCGAAATTCCAAATTTGATAGAAGCCTCCAAGCGGGCATTGCTATCTACTTCCAGTAACTGCCATTAAGCGAAGTTCACAGACTGTCATATGTAGTCGGCAACCATAAATTGGATATGTGTTCGGCAACGTTGAATATTCCTGTAATCTTTAAGGCAGAGCATGATAAATCTATGCGGGCCAGTGCGCGTGGATAGGATTTGAGACAGGACTTGTAGAAATGGTACGAGCTGAAAGTCTCTCTGAGATGCCTGCTCTCACAAGTCGAGGGGAATTTCAAAGCAGAAGCTAACAGCAGGTGCACAAATCTACATGCACGCTTGGTGAACGAATTAGTCAGAGCTTGCTGAGGCTGTGTTTATTGCGAATATTAATAAGACACTAGACTACCGGCTAAATGGTTGGCAGATTCGAACCCCCGTAAAACACTTTCTGCAAAGCGGTTAAAATTTCTTACTCATCTTAAAGTAGAAGGTATTAAGCACTTTCTGTGAAATTGCTTCAAACTCCAAAAAATTATCTTATGATTTTTGGAGGACTATCTCTTTGAAATTCTATAATGTTAATTTACTGCTCTAGTTGAGTCCGCTTGTAACAATAGCAGCTCGTCCACCTTACCTTATCAATGTCACCGGCCAAAAAAGGTTCGTTCCTTAAATTTTTTATTTTATTTTTATTAAATTCGACACAGTATTTCTTCTATATATATATTTTAATGTAATTATATACCCCATCTTAAGGTCTAATCGATTTGCGTTATTGAAGCCTCATCAGCGCTAGAACAACGACTGCTCTCGCCATCAGTGCGATACTTAATCGAGTCGATAATTTCCACATCGATGTCGCGTTCGCGATTACTGCCACCAAAACTCGCGCAATTATCCACCGAGGCTCGTCCATCGGAGTCAGCATCACAGTCGGGCTCAGATTTATTGTCATTATCATAACTGTTGCTACTACCGCCACCGGCAGCTGCTGCTGCATTCGAAGCAAGGAGATCGCGCGCCGCGAACTGACTATAAAGACGCGGCAAATGCTGCAGCATGTAGCTGGCGCTATTTTTCGTAAAAGGTTGATTTTCTTTAGCCTCACCCAAATCATAATATTTCGTGTAATTTTCAAATTTGCTAGCCATTGCTGAGGAGGTCAAATTGATGGCATCTAACGTATGACTCGCTGCGGAATTTGTGTCGTTTGCACGCGGTACGGGCACCGTGAACGCTGAACCCTGTCGATGCTTGTTCAGCAAACTGGCACCTGTGGCACTGCCACCGGATGACTCCGACTCACTGGTCGCATTGCTGTTATCGGCGCTGGTGAGCGGCGAAATATTTTCTTTTTTGCGATCATATATATGACCCGATACACGTAAATCGATGAAGAAGTGCAATGGGTCGATGCCGTAGGGTGGGTAGAGCGGTGGATACCACACAGGCGGAGGTGGCGGTAAGACCAAATCCTGTGGCGGCAGTGAAGCAGCGGGCGGAGTGTCCTGCAGCGCGGTATCCACTGCACCACCTCCACCGCCCGCTCCAGCACAATCAGCATTAGCAGCCGTGGCAGCAGTTGAGTCTGGTGTGGTGACGTTGCCTGCATCGCCCCTACCAACCTTAACATCTGTTGCATCTTTGGTGGCATCATCCATCTTGCGATATTTATTGGCTAAGTGGAAATATGGCTTATTTGTTAGTTCCAATGGCTTCTCCAAGCCAACAGACGCAGCGGCATTGCTTGCTAGCTGCTGTTGTTGTTGTTGTTGCTGCTGCAGCTGCTGTTTCTCCTCCGCCTCCTTACGCTCACGCAAGTGCTCATAATAGGGTCGGTGGTGAGCCCAAGTGCGCTTCCGTGGCCTGCGTGCCAACACCATCGATTGTTGCAGCTGCAGATTGCGCGCATTCTCGTTGTTGCGTGCCTGCACCAGTGAGCGTAGCATGTCACTGAAGAAAAAGTTGTTGGCACCCACCGGTGTGGAGTACAAGTAGGGAGGCGTGGCTGCCATCAGTCGGCTGACAAAGTCCTGATTGCGCATCTCATGAATATTCGACTTTCGCGGTGTGGCAGTGGATGCGGCACTCGTGGGCGAGGAGGACGACGAAGATGAGTTGGCTGTCGTGGTATCCTTTCCTGCGCATTTCTGTTGCTGTTGTTGTTGCTGTTGCTGCAAGAGTTGCTGGCGTTGATGTTGCTGCTGCTGCTGTTGCTGTTGGTGATGTTCATCCGACATGACCGCCTGCCGAGCAACTACAAGTCAAATAAGCTGTAGACGGAGAGAGAGATAGAGTAAAAGAAAGTAGATTTTAATGTTTGTCTTTACGAAACAAGCTGCACGTCTTAAGTGTCTTAAGTGTAGGAAATGCAAACACAATAAGAAACAATAAGACAATGTCATTTAAATGTTCTTCTCTTGTACTTTTCAGATTTGCTAGACAGTAAATGGAAACCTGTCGACAATGCCCACCCACGCGTTTGTTTGCATTTAGTCCCTAAGCTATTGCGGATTACAGCTGAGTGCCTGAACAAAGCAGATTGTTTCGTGTATTAAGTTGTTTTTGATTTCAATAAAATGCACTGTGAGATTTATTTACATATTTTGCAGGTGGGTGGTAGCAGTAGCTACATTCTAAGTATGCGGCAACCATTTGGTAATGCTCGGTCTTGATGCAAATCTTCATTTTGGTCGTAATTGTTTTGGGTAAAAATATCTAAAGGAGGGGGGTATGCACACATAAATACATATCAAATATTTAGTCAGTCGCTTCCCATTAGATATTAAAGAAAATCATAAGTTTTAAAAGAAAGTTTAGAATGAACTCAGGATCGGAAGATTCTTTAAGAGGCATTTTTTTTTCAAAAATGAAAAACTGTGACGAAAGTTAATTAATTTTGATAATCTTTATTATTATACATTATAAGTATTTTTTAAAGATAATTTCTTTCAAATAATGGACGTAACTGCGCTTGTGGTGGTCCATTTGGCACTTGGCCAATGATTCGAGTAATGTTGGCCTCGAATATCTCCGTCGTAGCCGGCCTATTCATGTAGACTTTTTCACTTTACATAGCCCCAAAGAAAAAAAGTCTAAAGGTGTTATGTCACATGATGTATGTATGTGGCCAACGCATTGTTCCGAAGAGTGAAATGAAGTGTTCACCGAATCATTCTCGCAGTAAATCAAATATTTCACGGACTGTAAGGCAAGTAACGCCATCTTTTTTGAATCAAATGCCGTCGAGACAACGGGCTTTAATTTCTGACATCAAATAGTCCGTTATCATGGCCATATCTAAACAAAAGCGTCAGCGTTGTCTGGCTGTCAAAAATTCTCATGCCCATACTAGGTGCACTCCCGTATTCCTCGGACTCGGACTAGTAAAACTGTCAAAAAATAAAAATTCGCTCAGAGCGAGAGAGTAACATTGAAAAGTACGAGATCGCTTTCTAGTAAAAAATGGTAACTTCTGTCAACTTCAACATAACCTCCAAATTTTGGTTGTAAATTTTTGCTTATTTTGTATAAAAACACACTCAGCTCACACATGTAAATAACCAAAAATACTTTCAAATTCATTAGAATCCACTTAAACAAGTAATTAAATAGTTTTCAACATGAATTAGCAGAGTGCACTTTTCTTTTGTTTACAATTTGGTTACCAAATACACTACAGCTGATCGTTTGACACATTTACCAGCAAAACTAAAACTGCCCTGTAGTCAAATGTACTAGTTGTAAACTACCTCACAACTAGTATGAACTGCATGCCCAACTAGTCAGCCAACTATCTTTTTTCCATGCAATCAACTGGTATTTTTAACACGGGGATGTCCTACGAGATGGCAATTGTCAGATTTCGGTCAGAAATATACCAGTCTCATACTAGTTCAAAATAGACAGAAAAATACTAGTATAATTATAGGCCAAAATGACTACTTTGGAAGTCAAAAAATAAAATAAATTCATGAATATACAATAAAAAACTTTTGATTAAGTACACTTTAATACATTACACATTTTTATGTAGTGTTAAATTTTTTGAGTATTTATTAAAAGGAAAAATAAATACATAAATATTTAAAACTTTCGAACATAAATTTAAATGCATTTTCGATTAAATTATATTAAAAGTAAAAGCTTGAATATGGAAAACATTTTAGTTAAAAATAAAAAGATACCTTAGTTAATTTTTGAGTGAACTATGTGAATAAAATTTTTTTTTAAGTAATAATTAGTGTTTAAAATTTGAGATTTGGATAAGAATAAAATAAATAAATAATTCGATCAGTTATTAAATATTCTTAATATGTGTCTATACTTTGGCTTGTTGATTGATAATTGAAATTAATCAAATAATTATATTTATCGTGTAATTAAAAAAAGTCAAAAATAATTGAAAATAATAAAAAATAATTAAATAATGATGTAATTAAAGTTAACGAATTAATTAAAATATTTTGTTTAAGTAATTAATTATTAATCATTAAGAAGGTGCCAATGTCGGTATTTAATCATTAAACGGTTATCCAAAAAAACATGGTTTAATTAATAATCATTATGAATATTAATCATTATTTAACAGGTATGGTAAAATGCGAGTACGTACTCGCTTTAACGGTTTACCATATACTCAAATAAAAGTTATAATATTTTGTGTACTCTATTGTATTAAACTGTCGAAGTCAAATAAAACTGGGCATGAATAAATCTTTTTGTACTTACTACAAGTCTGATCACTTTTGAACTAGTTCGGTTTCAGTCAGGAAATTCTGGTTGTAAACTAGTATTTTTCCTGACTAGTTTGGGGATTTACTGCAGGGTGGTAACTTCTGACAGAGAGAGAACCGTATTTACTCTCTTTTGTGTACTCTCAGTAGTCAGAGCACCGAGTACGGGATCGATTTCCAGTAAAATATGACTATTTCTGACTAGTCCGGACTCGTACCGGATCGCAACTACTATTTATGTGAATCATAATGAAACAACGCGGCGTCTACGCTGAGCTACGGTTGCCAGACGTACTGATTTTATCAGTACAGTACTGATTTTTCAACTCTTGTACTGATTATATTCATTTCTTCAATCAGTACGCTAATGTCCTGATTTTTTCAAAATTTGTACTGATTTGTATTGAATTTTCTATTCAAACAAAATACTTTAGTATTTTCTTAAGGTTTTTACATAACGTTGGAACTTTCTTAAACTGTACTGTAAAAAATAAGAAGAAAATAATTTAATTATAGTTGACATGTTTTAGATAATATGTATTTGATATGCCCAAGAAATTAATACAACAAAAAGATCAATCGTTTTATGGGCATATCGCCGAGTCGTTACCTACCAGTTGTGATAATATGATGGAGCTTAAATTATTTGTGTTGAGTGTTATTAGTTATCTCGAAAATAACTTTCAGTTTAATAACAATAAATTTCAATATTCGAATGGCTTTTGCCTATAACTTACAACGCCTTTTTCTCAATTTACTGACTTTGAAAGAGTTTTGCATACAAGACATAGAGTTAGATACCCTTTTTAGCGAATTCTTAGTCTTTCCCAGTTTTTGCGTAGTTGAAAAATTATTTAAGCCATGAGGAAATATAGATGAACTCCTTAAAAATTGGTACTTTTTCACAGTATTCCTGCGCAAAGAGAGAAACCGGCTTCTAATTAAAATTTTTGAAAGTGAACTTTAAACTAAAAGTGATTTTAAAATGAAATGTATGAAATTCTTTGACTATTTAAACACTGAAAATGGGAATGATCTCATTATTGCTATTCAAAAAGTCATAAATATAAAATAATTTATTAAAATGAATAACGCTTTTATTTTTTATGAACCATATTTTATTTATATACCAAAATATGGTTAAAAACAAGAACTCAGACGTTTTAAATTATTTTCTGTTACTTACATTCATAATTTTGCTTTGAATGAGAATATACTGAAATGTACTGATTTTTTTAGCATGAAAAAGTCTAATATACTGATTTCGCGCATAAAAAATCTGGCAACCCTAACGCTGAGCGGCTGGATAATCCGATTTTGAAGGAAGTTAGGAAGTGAAGTTGGTTGCAGAAAACGGCTAAACTGTAA